TGTGCTGCTGTGGCCATTGAGCCTTTGATTGTTGTGGCCTTGTCTCCACTGATCCTCTGCTATTTCTCTTTTTAAAAAAAATCTCTGCTGCGGTTCATGCTATGAGTGGTCCTATTAGCTGTTCCCATTTTGGTTCCATTAGCCGCTACAGCCCTTCCGGTACTCTTTTGCAGTTTTCAGACATCTTTTTAAGTAGCTATGGGATGTCCTGAGCGGTTGTCCACTTCTACTGGGCATTTACAGCCTAATTGCCCTTTGATGGGGATCTTCTTGAACGGTTGGCTGCCTCATTATGACTTTGAGTGGATGCTGTGTAGGCAGGCTTTGGTTAGGTCCTGTGAGAATAAATCCGCCCCATGGGCTCTACTGTACCCTCTGCCTTGGTTGTGACCTTGTTGCCCAGACATCTTGCCTGGGTTGGGATAATCAGATGTGGTAGGGGATCACGTTGTTTACCCATATCTTTAGAAAAAAATCACTTCTACTGTCGTGGTAAACAACCTGCTTCCCTATTTATAATGGTCTGGCACTCTAGCAAAATCAGCGCGAAATTATAGCTAATTTGCCTACAAACGTCAGGTGGTCATAATAACCTGGCCACTCAGTGTAGGTTCCTGTGTCATCTCATTCTTAAGAGTACCTGTACCCCTGCACTTTATGGTCTCTCAGGAAATCGTTGAAAAGCTTCCTGAATGATTCCACACTATTTGCTGAAATCACTGCCTGTGGCAGAGAGTTCCAGACCCTAACCTCTAGTGGCCTCTAGTCTTTGTTATGGAATTAATCGTAAAGAGTTTGTTGCTAATGTTGCTATAGCCATTGAACATCTTGTACATGAAAATCATATCCCTCCTTAATCTCCTTACTTCCAGCGTGAACATATTTAAATTTAGCAGCCTTGTCTCATAGTTCTTGTCCTCCATCCCCTAATGAGTTTGGTTGTCCTCCGCTGGACTCTCTCGAGCTCAAGGATATCCTTTCTGTGTGCTGGTGCCCAAAACTGGACAGCATACTCCAGGTGAGGCCGAACCAGTTATGTGTAAAGTGGCAAAATTATAGACTTGTACCTGCAAAACATTCCCTTCTTGATGCAGGACAGGATTCTACTAGCTTTGCTTACAGCATCCTGGCACTGTAATCTATTATTCAGTCTATGGTCTACAATGACCCCCAATTCTTTCTCCATTTACGACTTCCCTAGCGGCATACCCATAATTGTATAACCCATTTGCTTATTTTTAATGCCAAAGTGAATAACTTTGCATTTATCGACATTAAACCTCATCTGCCATATAGTTGCCCACTCCCCTATTTTATCCAGGTCCTCCTGCAATGTTATACTATCTTGGTCCGTTTCTATTACCCTCCTAATTTTGGTATCGTCAGCAAACACTGAGATATTGCTGTTTACACCCTTCCCAATGTCGTTAATAAACAAGTTGAATAGCATGGGTCCCAGCACAGAACCCTGAGGCACACCGCTCATGACACTAGCCCAGTCTGAAAGGGCGCCATTTATTGATACTCTCTGTACCCGTTCCTTTAGCCAGTTCTCTATCCATGTACACACCCTTCCATCTATGCCCATAGACCTCAGCTTGTATAGTGAGTGTTTATGAGGTACCGTATCAAAAGCCTTTGAGAAATCCAGATATACCACATCCACAGACCTCCCTCCATCCAGATCTCTACTTACACCCTCGTAAAAAGTTAGTAGGTCTTTCCTAAACCCATGCTGATTATCACTAACTATGCCATTATCCTGAACAAATTCTACCAAATAGTCCTTAATCATTCCCTCTAACAGTTTACAAACTACCAATGTAAGACTAACTGGTCTGTAGTTCCCAGGTTGGCATCTTGCCCCCTTTTTGAATATTGGAACTACTGTAGCCCTCCGCCAGACACTTGGAACTCTACCAGTCATTAAAGAAAAAATTAGGAATAATGGTCTTGTTATAACCTCGCTTAGTTCCTTAAGTATCTTGGGGTGCAGGTTATCTGGTCCTAATGCTTTATTTGCATTAAGTAGATTAAGTCTTTGTTGTATCCCGGTTTCCGTCAACCACTGGGGTATATTTTGTGTTGAACTATGTGTTTTATCATGTACATTAAACCCATCTTTTTCGTGAGTGTATACTGAGGAGAAAAAAGTGTTCAGCACCTCGGCCCTCTCCTTGTCATTTGTGACTAACTTCCCGTTTTCGTCCTTTATTGGGCCTGTCTGCTCCTTTCTCCCCTTTTTACTGTTTATGTTTTGGTAGAATTTTTGGGGTTTTTTTTAACCAACTGTGGCTATATGCTTTTCTTACTCTATTTTAGCTGCCCGAATTACTAGTTTACATCTTTTATTCCATTCTTTGTAGTTATGGAACGCCAATGTCGTCCCCTCTATCTTATATTTTCTAAATGCACTCGCTTTTCCTAATGTGTTGCTTTACATTTTTATTTAGCCATACAGGCTTAGTTTGTGATCTTTTACTTTTATTACCCAACGGTATACACTTGGCAATGGCAATATGTAATGTGTTCTTAAAACATTCCCACTTTTGGTCTGAGTTCAGTTTGTGAAATAATTTTTCCCATTTGATGTCCCCCACTAGGTGGCGCAGTTTATCAAAGTTAGCCTTTCTGAAATTTAGGGTTCATTTCCGGTTTGTACCTTCACATCTTCTTTTGTCACTGCATAGTTTGTGGACCATCATGCAGCCCTGTGGGACTACTCAAGCTTGGGGTCATGGCCCTAATGTGGCATGGCAGTTCAGGGGACTTACAGCTCCCTGTTCACATTCTACGAGAGGGATCTAATTTCTCAAGCCCACATGTTTTTTGGCTTTTTTGGAGGGCCTGGTTAAATTGCACGATATCCATCTGCCATATTTTCTCTCTCTCTCCCCCCCCCTTGTTTTAATTCTGACTTAGAGATTCTCCACTGGGCAGTGGCTTACTCAGGACATCCGCATTGTTGGCCTGCACTTCTGCCTGTTTATGGAACCGTTGGCGCAGTTCTGGCTGCCTGGGGGATTCAAACCGCTTAGGTCTGGCAGGGGTTTTCCCTAGCTCTGCAATTTTGCAGTCACCTGGAAATTGACTCATCACTTGGTATACCTGGGTCTTGCCTTAAATGCGGTTCAGGCTAGGGTTTCTTACAAAGGAGATGCTTTACCTCCTTATTTCTATTTTTAATCTTCAGTTGGAGTTGAGGAATTTTACTATGTGTTCTAGGGCTGTTGGTGGCCTATTTCAAGACAGTTCAATTCTCCAGTTCTACTTCCAGCCTTTGAGCTGCAACGGTCTGTTATACCGAGATAGGTCAGTCCAGATTCTGTATAGGCAAGTTGACGTGTCAATAGGAATAGGTTGTACCTGTCTGGTTTCTTGTTCCACTCTAGATCTCAGGACTACTTTTCTTTCTGACCTAATGGCTGCTCCTTTAGCTGGATGCAAGTCCTGTCAGGGGTTGCCTTGGTGATGCAGAAGTTTTGGACGTTGAGGGATTCTCCTCTCCTAATCTTTAACATGGCTTTTCTTAACTGATGGTTGTCCCTACAATGCTGGACTTGCTGATGGGAAGGTTATTTGTTCCCATTTAGGCGTAGAGTAGTGGCTTACATCATATACCAGGTGGATTCAGTAGCTTCGCCACAGCCTGGGTTTTGCAGGATTTAGTCCAAGGCTGAATTGCACATTCCAGCCCTGTTCTCCATTTGCATTCCATATATGGATTATTGGCAGTTTGTCTACTTCAGCCTGCAGTGCCTGGATCCATGGGGTTGGTTTCCAGACTCTAAGGTGTTCTGGGATTTGCGTTTCCAGTGCAGGAGGCTGGATGTGGACCTCTGGGTGTAACTGCGTACTGAACAGGTTTGTTTCCAGATTCAGGAATCTTCTGTCAGCAGCGGTGAATGCTCTTCTGGCTCTGTGGGATTCATACTGCCCTTTCTTTGCCTTTTTATCTCTGCCAGCTCACCTGCCTTTCAGTTATTAGTGGAAGGACTGTTCGGTGTTACTCATTGCTTTGGGTTTGCCTAGGTGGATGTGGTATTTCCTCCTAGTTGGACTTGTAGCGGATGCCTCATGGGCTTCTCCAGATGTTCTGGATCTTCTGTGGCATTTTTTTTTGCATGGCGGCTTACTGCCGACTTACAGTCAGAGCCTACAGCCTGGTTCCTGGGGGACAGTGGCAGCTTTTCGAAGTGGAAGCTTTGATCTCATGAGGCTTCTGACCGGGAGCATTTCTTCTGCTGGTCTACCCTCATTAATGGAAGACCTGCTCTTTGAATGTAGTAATCTTTGTAGTACGTATCCTGTTAGCCCTTCCAAAGATAGATGTATGCATTAAGCAGTTATCAGAGAATGTTGGCCTTCCGTTCAATGTCTCCAAAGGACTTATCTAAATCAATCTGAGTGCTGGTAACCTATTCTTTCTACTCCATGGTATGGGATGTTTTTCCCGGTGAGTACAAAAATCCTATTTTTCTTGTGGCCCATATGGGAAAATTTGCAAAGCAACATTACACACACTTGTAGCAATAGGACATTGTATGTGTTGTCTTTTAAAAGACTTTTAACTGACATTCTTATAATCCTCAGCTTTCTAGGTGCATGCCATTTGTTATCCATAGTATTCTAGGCATCATTTTGCTAGTACAAGTGGAAAAATAGGAATGAGGAAATCTAGTTATTTAGTTTTTCAGACTGAGAACCAATACTGTAAGTTTTGTTGGTCACTGTAATTGCATACAGTATACTGTATGCATTTTACTTGACTATAAAATGCATATTTGATGTTGGACTAAGGCAGTGACATTGCTCCTTTATAAAAATCTGAATTCTAGCTGCCATTTCAGATTTGAAGGAGGCAGATGACATCTATATGTTCCCATTGACAGAACAGACATTTATTCCCTCCAGTTTTTCTAACTTTCCCAAGTATATCAAATGAAAACATTTCCCCCTGAAGTTTCTCTTTATTTTTCTGTGCTTTTGTTTAATGGCAGGTTGCAAACTTTAATGCTCGAACTGAAGAGAATACTCAGGAAATCTCACTAAGGGATAAAGAACTGATTAGAAAGAATGAAGAAGCTGCTATCTTAACGCAAGGTAAGATGTATTCTTCAATTTTTATACATGTTTTCACATAAATAAAGGTATTCCTAGGAGACCTAGAAATTGATATGTGATTGCATAGACATTGTACGAATACCCTCCATTTTCCCCAGTCATCTTCCAGGACCATCACCTAATATGCAATCTAATACTGGCCTAAACCAGCCATAGTTTAAAAGCCTCTCACACTCATCCTTCATTTAGTTATTATGATTCTTCATATTTTACAGGAAAGAGCAACATCCCTGTTATTACTTTCTGATTGCTGGTTAAGTCCTATGGTTCCCTTGAAGGTGCAGGTTGCGCATCGGACTTTAGCCCTGCTGTGATCTAGGTAGCCTGCTAAAATTCTAAAAAGGGATCCCTCCATCAGGGAAGTTTGGGACGGACTTGTTGTATTTCCTTTCCATTGAGCAGAGATCTCTTCCCTTGTGGTTCCCTCAGTGAACATTTAGATTTAGGGACCAAAACGTTTTTCCTTATAGGAAAATAGCACATAAAATGGGATGTCCAAAAACAGTGCCCTTTCCAATCTGTATCTTAATCTGTAAAAGTTAGTCTGTACTACAACCATAAGCATTTCAGGTAGAAGAGTGCTTTAGTTGAAGTCATGGGAAGAAGGGATCTAAATATTGCTTTTAAGGTCCACAATTGCAGAGCGACAATGGTAGACGAGGCCCCATTGGGAAGTTTGCATTTAGTAAAGGAAAAGAGAATCCTTGTCAATTCATCTGATTCCCCCAAAGATGCTAAATGACGCTGACCTGATGGTGGAGGGGTGTCTTCCTTTCTCTCAGTGATAACCAATTTTAAAGGGCTCTTCTGTCATCCTCATAGCTGTGGAAGGTTATTGCCTGGAGTGTTTCTATTGTCCCGTGTTTGATATTTTTTCCAACACATATTGTTTATAAGCATCTTAAAGTGACATTAAAGTCACATTCCCCCCCCCCCCCCCGCCCTGTTTTT